ATTAAACTCTTATAAATAAAAAATTCACTTTCTCTATTAATATATATATTTTTTTTTAAACAAAAAAAAATGTGCAGGAAAGGAGAATAGAGCCTGGGATCTGGACCAGCCCATTCAAGGGGTGGCCAAGGTTGGACACTTTCTCTATTAATATTTAAATGAAGTGCAATGCAACCTATATTTTACCTCTTTGGAATAATAATTCTTAATATGAGGTAACAGGACTCAAAATTATCTCTATACCCTCGCCGCAATTTTTTCCATTTCAAGCTTAGAGCCACGTGCTCTTTCGACTTTGGCTCTTCCTTTGAAAACCTTAAAAATACACCATTCTCCTCCACACATTAATGTTTATATATACTCCTCCGCTTCTTGCACCAAATTCACCCTTGATTTATTCTCCATCTCCGTTTCTTCCACTGCCCCAAAATCATTACCCAAAATTGCCTAACCATGTTCTTCTTTCTTCTCTTCTCCTCTCTGGGGATTCTCCTTTTCTTCTTTCTTTACTTGCTTGTTCTGGAATTCAGGTATTTTAAATCCAAGCAGCCATCCTCCACTCATTCCCCTCCTTCTTATCCTTTCATTGGCTGTCTCTTCTCTTTCTACAGAAACCGCTACCGTCTTTTGGACTGGTACACCGACCTGTTATCCCAGTCCCCGTCCCAGACAATCGTGGTGAACCGTCTCGGAGCGCGACGAACTGTGGTCACAGCCAACCCGGCCAACGTCGAGCACGTGCTGAAGGCCAACTTCAACAACTTCCCCAAGGGCAAGCCGTTCACTGAGATTCTGGGTGACCTTCTTGGTTGCGGAATATTTAACGTGGATGGCGAGTCGTGGAGCATACAAAGGAAGTTTGCCAGCCATGAGTTCAGCACCAAGTCGTTGAGAGACTTCGTCGTGAAGACTCTCCAAGGAGAAGTAGAGAACCGACTGATACCCGTGCTCGAGGAGGCTGTGAAGAGAGAAAAAATTCTAGATCTTCAAGAAGTTTTAAGGAGATTCGCCTTCGATATTGTGTGTAAGGTGTCGTTGGGGACGGATCCTTGTTGTTTGGATCTTTCACGGCCAGTGCCACCGCTTGTTAAGGCCTTTGATATCGCGTCGGAGATAAGCGCCAAGCGTGGAATGGCACCGGTTTTTCTAGTCTGGAAGATAAAACGAGCTTTGAATATTGGATCGGAGAACAAACTCAAGGAAGCGGTTGAACTCGTTCGTGGTTGTGTTTTAGATATTGTGCGAAACAAAAGAAGAGATCTCGAAGAGAACAACGAAAAAGAAAGAAGCGACGGCGGTGATCTTCTGACGAGATTGTTATTAGCAGGACATAACGAGGAGTTAGTAAGAGATATGGCGATAAGCTTCATCATAGCAGGACGGGACACTACCTCGGCGGCTATGACCTGGCTCTTCTGGTTGCTCTCTGAACATCAGAATGCAGAGAGCCTGATAATGAAAGAAGTAGCATCCTTGCTTCATGATGGTGAAAAACAGTTGGACTACCAAGTACTGAAGGAGATGAATTTTATGAAAGCATGTTTGTGTGAGTCCATGCGGCTTTACCCTCCGGTAGCGTGGGACTCGAAGCACGCGGTGAATGACGATGTGTTACCTGACGGAACTCAGGTATGGAAAGGTGATAGGGTGACGTATTTCCCATATGGGATGGGGAGAATGGAGGAGCTGTGGGGGAAAGACCATTTGGAGTTCAAACCGGAGCGGTGGTTGGAAGAACCGGGAGCGCGGGGGGAAAGGATGGTGATGAAGGGGGTGATTCCGTACAAATTTCCGGTGTTTCAGGCAGGTCCTAGAGTGTGTCTGGGGAAGGAGATGGCATTTATTCAGATGAAGTACGTGGTGGCTTCGGTAATTAGTCGATTCGAGATCAGACCAGTTTGTGAGGACCGGCCTGTTTTCGTGCCCCTCTTGACGGCTCATATGGCAGGTGGGTTTAAAGTTGTTGTCAGGAAAAGGTTCAGTTCCAAGCAGTGAAATGGCAGGACTAATCCTCCAATTTAAAATCAGCTTATACTATAATAAAGATTAGTCGATATTAATTACTTGTATTGTAAAAAATTAAAAATATATATTTTAAAATTATGTTAATTTAATAAAATATTATAAAAAATTAAAATAATTTTACTTTTTTAAATTAGTATATTTTAATTTTTTAATAAAATTCTATTAAATGAGATTTTATTATAATGATATAATTTTAAAATTTTTTTAATTCTTTATAATACAAATTTATACTTACTTTTTCATAATTTATTTATATGAGGCTGTAAATGTTACTTCTATTGCAGACAAGTGTGCTTGATATAGAAATAACTTGATTTTACCAAGTGTTAATGGTACCAAAAGTGCTAATGTATGTATTTATATGCTTATATGTGTACGAGTGGTGATGTAGTGGTGTTTGCAACTTTGAAAAACGGTACATATCTTCCTTTTTGAACAAGGGGAAATTTGGAGAATGGAGGATCAGTTCTATAAAAATTAGAATTAGGGTCTTAGTTTTGAAGACATTGAATCCTATCTACCGCTACTAGTGCTATTGGTGTGAGAAATGGCACATATTTACTTTTTTTAATTTTAGTTAATATGCCCTAATGGGAAATTAAAACTGGGACTACCCCTTTATAAGAAAAAGAAAAAGAAAAAAGAAAAGAAAAAAACCTTGGACGCCATTTTTTACCTGATTCTCGACTGTCTTCTAGCCAAGGTGTTGTGCTTGCAGCGAGGGTTTGGTAAAAAGCAGACTACTTGCATTATTTAATAGGAAACAGTGTTTATCAACCTTAACTTTTAAAAATTAAGAGAAAAATTATCTCAAAATTAAGTTGTTTCAATAAATTTTTATTGAAAAAGATTAAATTACCTTATTTTTAAAACATGCATTAAGATAATTTTTGTTGTTTTTCCTCCTAATTTTTTAGAAGTAAGACGGATAAACAGTAATCCTTATTTAATATTTGTAATTCACAATTTTTGTAGGATTTAAAGAGTTCAAAATATTACAGGCGTGTGTAAAATTGTGGAGCCTTCATAATTGGAGGAAGTTGGTTAATAATATAAAAAGTTTTTTTACCCAAGACATGGTGGTTTAGTCGGAAGATTTACCCTTTTTTTTTTTTTTTTTGATCAAGATTTAAATTTTTTTAAAATTAATAAAAATTTAGTTTTAATCTTTTTTTTTTTAATTTTATCATGAATGACTTACTTTTAATTAGATTAAAAAAAATTAATTTTAATATATAAACATTCTGATGTGTAAATATACTTTTTATAACAAGAGTTTGAATTTGTGCTTTTTTTTCCGAATTTATTTGAATCACGTACACTAATACATCAAAGAAATTAACAAAAGTGCATGTAAAGTTAAGATGAAAATTACCTATCTTTCTTAATTGATGAATAGAAATTGTCAACAAGGATTTGCCTAAATAGGAATGTACAATCAACTAGCTCCTCTTTAGAATCCTTCATCCCTGACGTTAGCTAGTCTACCACACCTGCATCGATTTTTCATTTCCATTAGAACTGGTAGTACAAATAGTATATACTGCTTTCATCATACAAATTAGAGAATTACCCTATTGAAGTGATGCAAGTCCCTAGATATCTATATATATCTATATGTATATATATAGATATACATATTAGTATATTTTTGCTTTCCTTGACGTAATTGATTAACATTTAATTTGGCTCATACCCTCACACTTAACACAAACCTTCCAGAATATTGCTTGTTCTCCATGACATTATCTATATATATACTCATTCTGTACAGTACTTGCATTATTTGTTTCCAATTTGCATGTTGAAATTCCAAATGGAAGCAAAAAAAAAAAAAACATTATTTCACGTGTAAATTAAGGATAGTTTTTATTCATATTTTGGAGTATAGGTA